GGCCATGGCCTGCAGCTCCTTGACCATGTCGGCGCCGAGACCGAGGCCTGTTGCGACCTTGCCCAGCTGCTCCACACTGACCGCGAAGGTGGGCAACAAGTCCGCGCGCGTCGGTGGCTGCGTGCCCTCGGGCGGCTGGACTCGCGACATGGCGGTGCGGGTCTGCTGCTCCAGGCGGAGGACCTCCGCAGCGGCCTCTTGCAGCTTGGAGTCCGTGTCGGCCAGGCCGCGGGTGAGCTCATCAATCTTCTTCTGCTGCTCGTCACGGGTGGCCTGGATGGTAGCCTGTCGCGAACGGGCGGAAGACAGTCTTGGCGCCAAAGACCTGGCCTGATGCTCGGTGGGCCTGTCTTGAAAGAGCTCGGCGTCCAGCCTCGCCCGCTCTTCGCACCATTTGGCCACAGTATCAGCATCAGCAGGGTCAGTAGTGACACGAAGCAACTGATCCAGCATCTTGATCCTATTCCGCTTGGCGGTGTCGGCATCCCCTGGCGCAGCAGCCCATGGTGGGCTCGCACCTGTACCCGTAGCCGCTGGCCCATGCCCAGGGGGATGCTCTCGGAGCTTGGTGAGCTGCGCCTCAAGCTCCTTGACCTTGGCCGCGAGCGACTGCTGCTTGGCCGAGACACTGGGCTGCGACGCCGCTTTGTTCTCCTTGAAACAGTTGCTCTTGTGCAGGCCGCACTTCTTACAGTAGACAAGGGTAGAGGCATTGAACCACGGCTGATTCGTGACGTCGTGCCTGCACCACTTGCAGTACCGTGGCAAAGCGTTGTCCTTGCGCGTCGGGGCCATCGTGGCGTCGATGTCGCAGGGACGAGCGGCGAGTGCCACGGGCCAGAGGGCAGCCTGGCCGTGGTGGCAAAACTGATGAGGGAGCCCAACCCCTCGGTGTAGGCGAAAAGCTGTCGAGCGCAAGCGCTCTGGCACTGCCGCGGACTAGCGGTATCCGTGAATGCCAATACGGGCTCAGCCCGCAAAAGCATGAGCCTTGAGCTAAAATGGCTACGGACGAATAATCAGAGGAGGAGGATGATGATGAGGAGGAGGAGGAGGAGGACGATGAGGAGGAAGAGGCGGAGGAGGAGGGGGAGGAGGAGGACGAGGAGGAGGAAAAAGAGTGGGAGGAAAAGGAGGAGGAGGAAGAGGAAGAGGAGGAGGAACAGGATGAGGAGGAGGTGGAGGAGGAGGACGATGAGGAGGAGGAGGAGGAGGCGGCGGAAGAGGAGGAGGAGGCGGAGGAGGATACTGATTATGATGATGATGCTGATGATGATGATGATGATGCTGATGCTGATGATGCTGATGATGATGCTGAAGATGATGATGATGAAGATGATGCTGATGATGATGATGATGATGCTGGTGGTGGTGGTGGTGATGATGATGGTGATGATGATGATGCTGCTGATGCTGATGATGACGATGATGATGCCGATGATGATG